AAGACAGAGCAAGATTTTCCGTGTGATGATTCGCTACCCAAGTGGCTGCAATAGTCAGATCTGAACTTGTCTGAAGCTAGGAATCTGGAACCTCTTCCAGATCTCCCACATGAGTGAAGGGTCCCAAGGCTTTAGGTTGTCCTTGACTGCTTTCCCAGGCCACCAATAGGGAGCTGGATGGCAAGCACGGCTGCTGGGAAATGAACTTGTGCCCATATGGGATCCCAGTGGATGCAAGGTGAGGACTTTAGCTGCTAGAATACATTTTTAGAATCTTTGTGTTGATGACAGCCTTTTCCTTCCAATAAGTTAGTTTTGGTTGTTGAGCCAGTGATATCCTTCAGTCAGAGTCCTTTAGGACCTTGTGTTTTATGTGACACAGGTGAAAATTACGCTATTCTGAATGATCCTTCCTACTTAGCCACATAGATATATGTTGAATTTGGCAACTGATATTCTGAGTGGAGCCATCAGGACATGAGAAGGTTTTGAAATCATCAGTAGACCCTGGACAGCCACTGCATACACTGGAGAATAATAGCAGAAACGCACACTGGGTGTTACATATCATCCTGCTGCCCATGGTTTTTAAAAAAAATCTTTATTTATTTACTACTATTATTATCATTTTATGATACAGTTCCATAGGCTCCTGATATTTCCCTATCCCTTCCCAACTTCTGCCCCCCCTTAGTTCCCCTATATCATTACTAAAGTATAATTCTTCATAATCAGTCATTTTCCATCATTGCGGGCATGGACAATGGCAGAAAGTCCAGCACCCTATTGTCAAGATACAGTAAACACTTTCATTCTAAGTCCATCTTTGTCTGGAAGTAGAGATGTATACTACTATGCATTGTATCCTCACATCTGAATATGTTAGTCTCCATTTCACAGTTACTGTTCATCCCCTTAAATGAAAAGTCACAATACAAAATCAATAATAGGACAAAAACCAGAAATTTACAATGCCATGAAGTTAAATAGCATGTTACTAGATATGACAGTCTCCATTACACCACTACTATACATCCCCTTAAATGAAAAGTCACAAAACAAAATCAACATCAGGAAGAAAAAATGAACAACTCTGTGAAGTGAAATAACATGCTACCAAATGACTAATGTGTCACTGAAGAAATGAAAAAGAAAATCAAGAACCTTCTTGCAGAAAATGATGCTACTGTATGATCTATGAGTCACTGAAGAATTTAATCAGAAGAAAGTGTTTTGAAGAGATGAAACTAACAAAAACAAAAGCACCAAATCCATGAGATATAGTTTCCACTGATTTTTGTTGGTGAAATGTGGAGACACATATCCATGGCTTTTGATGTTAGGCCAAGGTTTTTCCACCCCCTTTATTATGGAAATCCACACAGAAATCCCAGGATGCTGGAATGTCCCAGAATTTACGTAGTAAGAGGCACAGTCAATACCAGTGAAGGAGCTTGTTCAACACTTACTTATCTTTTTTTTTTTTTTGTCATAGTTTTGTCTTTCTGTGGAGAGTCGCTCCTGTAACGGCCAGTTGTGTCTGCACATAAGTGATCATTCAGCAGGCATGGATTGAGAGAACAGAGATTTGTGAATGATTCCATTGGAGATGAAAGGGGGTCAGAGAAGGCACAGATGCAGTAGTGCATTAACCTGGAGGAGGGCAGGGAGACAGTCTGTCCTGTGGTGTGGGGACATGCTGACATTCAGTAGGAGGAACTGATTATACTAGGTATGGGTTCCCTTAGCACCAACTAAAAATACGTAAGTAATCCAGATTTGTAATATAAATACTCAAACATTTAATAGAATTTCATTAAGTGCTTCTTATAGATGTGAAAGTTAATCATGGAGATACTTGGCTTTTTCTTAGACATAAATTAGAAACCTAATTGATCAACTATTCTGAAACTATTCTAGATATGTGACTGTGTCATAAAGGTAATAGTGTGGCTTAATGCTTAAGTCTGAATTACAAAGTGCTGATTTTGTGTTCGTGAATTAGCATGCTTCCGTTGGCTTAGTTGTGACGGAAAACCCAGCTTTGACCCAGAACACTTGTGATCAATTTCAGCTTTGCCATTTATTAGGAGAAGTTAGTATAAAGTTTTTCATCTTACGATTTTATTTGTTTCACAGATTAAAATGATATCAAATAAAGCAATAGGCAACTCACAGATGGATATAAATCATGTATTGTCAATAGAGGATCAAAGGAGCCCAGTGTCGAGCATAGTACACCAGCTGTTAGAATCACTGGTAAAGCAATTAGCACAGCATAATCTTATAAAGCAAATCACTGTTATCCCATCACTAGTTATCAAACTTAAAATATCTTAATTTATTATATTTGAAAGTTTCTTTTAAAAAATTTGCTTTATTGAAAGGGAGAGTCATGGTGAGAAGGAGAGATAGGACAAGTTCTTCCATTGGCTGAATCAGTCTTCGAATGGCTGTAACAACCGGATCTGGGCCATTCTGAAGTCGGAAGCCAGGATCTTTCCCTGGGTTCTCATACGGGTTCAGAGGCACAAGGACTTGGGCCATTCTTCTCTGCTGCTGTTCCAGGCTACAATCAGGGAGCTGGATCATCAGTGAAGTGGCTAAGATGACAACTGGCTCCCATATGGGATGCTGCCACTGCAGATGGAGGCTTAGGCTACTATATCTCTGTCCCAGGCCCTGTGGTTGGAAATTTCTAAGTAATTATTAGCATTGTACTTGTGTCCTTAGGAATGAGTACCAGAGCCAAGTTCATAAGTGGTCTGTGGCAGAGATTGCGGTCTGTTATTTCCAAGTTCCTGTAGTTCCTGGTTGCTCCTCCCAGCAAGATGTGCTTGCTAGGCATGCTTGTCCTTATGGCTAAGGGCTAATCCTAGGGATTATCTGGAATTTGTTCATAAGCCTTGTGAACATGTTCCTGGCTCATGAAATCTTTGCAAGGAGCATATCACAGCCCTCAACCCCACAGAGGCATTCAACATAAAATTATACAGTGGTGTCAGTGGTTTTAATTGTAAACTCTCTTCCCTTTAACAACATAACTTCAATTTACTTAACACAATCTGAATACTAACTCCTTACCTCAACAAGCAGTACTTTTAAGTTGCTGTTTAGTAATTTACGAAGACCAATTAGATTTCTATTACATGCTATACCAAGTTTTTTCTCCATGTAAGTGATTTCCTTCCTTTCCAAGTAATTAAAAAAAGTTAATGTATCAATTGCACTATGACTGGGAAAATAATTTGGAGCTACAAATCACAGGGTCATTTGAAGAATATTGCTCAGAATAATGCCAAAACTTTCCATCATCAATAATCTTAATGATTTATCATGTGCCAATTGATATGACAACACATGCATGATATTTATGTATTTGAAAATAAAAGAAAATTAACCAAAGAGGACCAGGCTTGGGGATCTGTGCGCTTGTTGGCAAGAGGGGTTGTGGATTGCTCAGGATAGCGGTCTGGGAATGTGTGGAGGGAGGATTGCTGAGGGAGAAGAATGTGACAGGTGAGGAGTGACTTCTCGGGGACTTCCACCAACCAGGCTACTGCACTTGCAGAAAAACCAGGAGGATGGGACTGGGTAGTCTGAAGGAGGGAAACTGGAGGACTTCTCACGGCCAAGCCAACACACGTGTTCATGAAAGAGACATGAGCTGGGCATGTTAGTACCAGCCACTGCCTACTGGTGCACTTGAAAGCCATGGCAGGGGGCCTGCCTGGCAGAGCTTGACCATAATAGCTGCCAGTGAGTGTTGGGGCAAGGGTGTGGATCATGTCAGGCTGGGACATGACACTACCAGCACTTGAGAAAATTAGGTCTGGGAGCAGATTCTGTGGGGGATTGAGGGCTCACTCCTGTGGGCTCACTCCTTGCTTGAAGGCTGGGGTGGTGAAGGGCTGAGCTAGGCATGACCATGGATCTCACCAACACTCATGAGTACTGGGGTTAGGAACAGGCCAGGCTGGTGTGGTGCAAGCTGCAGCACCTGCAGGTACATGCAAGAATTGAGGGTGAGGCAGACCAGGCAGCAACATCTACCAGCAAACACAAAGAGCCACACTGGAGGGTCAGATTATACTAGGTAAGGGCCTAGCACAAGTGAGATCTGGGAGTGGGCCTGGTGGGGGAACTTGGGGAACTCCCCCGTTGGGCCATAGCTCCCGCTGGCGAGCATGTGAGTCAGGGCTGGCTGTTGGTCAGGTTGGGCAGGGATGCTTCACTTGTTGGCAGGTGTGTGGTTTGGAATGGGAAACAGACTGGGCAGGGCTAGGCTGAACTTTAGCACACTGGCATGTGCAAGAACCAGGATAAGGTACAGACCACGCTGGGCTAGGTTAGGCTATCAGACTTCTCTGTTTGCAATGAAAGCCAAGGATGGGGACAGACTGGGCAGCACTCACCATCTAGAGTTGGGACAGGGCTGTGCCAGGCTAGGCCAGGCTTCAGCGTCTGCCAGTTAAGGCCAAGACAGAGGTTAGGCTACACCTAACTGGGTTGAAGCAACTACTGGCATGCATAAGATCTGTGATTGTGAGTGAACTTGGTAGGAGAGCTAAGGGGATGTCCTGGTTGGGCTGCAGTTACCACTGGTGAGTGCCAGGGCTGGAATGGAGGCTGAGAACTGGGCTGGGTGTGGCTGCAGTATGCCTTGGCATGGGTGTGGACTGGGTCTGGGGTGTGCCAGACTAGGCTAGGTTTGACACCTGCTGGTACTTGCTGGTACTTGTAAGAATCAGAATGGGTGTAGGACAGGGCTAGGTCTCCACACATGCTGAACCATGCCAGAGCTGTGTCTTGGTGTGGGTCAGGCATGGTTGTGGTGTGGCACTCACTGGTAAGAACCAGAAAGGGTGTGGGCTGATCAAGATAGGGAAGTTTGGGGAACTACTTTGTCAGGACAGTCGCTGCATGTGAGCACAAGAACCAAGGCTTGTAGCAGCCAAAACAAAGCCATGTTGCAGTACCCACTGACATAAGTGTGAGTCAGGTCTCAGGGTAGGCCAGGCTGGACTGGTTAATAGAATCCATTGACAGAACCTCAGTTTTTTTGCAGTGATTTTATTGCAATTAAGTATATTTCAGGTTTCAACAATTGTCTTGCAGATTTCTGATCAAAAAGAAAAAAGAAGAGAAGTTGTAGTTTCTGGTAGTCTTCTCTTGGTTGGAGGCCATCATCTGGATTCCTCTGAGCCAATGGTCTTGTGACAGTTAAAAAGGAGCACAGTAGACGCTGTCATATATCGTTTGCTGCAAAACAAGCAGACACATAACCTAGCTTCTCAGTGCTCTCTTCAGTAACATAATACTGAAATAAAGATGCTTGCTATAATTTTTCTTATGTTTTACCTAGGCAGCCCACAGCAAGAAGAGTTCACATGGAATGGAAAACTGTGAGGATATCAGGGTAAACATCTGCCTGTGTTGTCAGGATCCTAATGAGCACTAGTTCTTGTCCCCGCTATTCCACTTCTGATCCACTCCCTACTTATGGCCTGGAAAGGCAGCAGAGGGTGGCCCAAGTCCTTGGGCCCCTGTACCCACGTGGGAGACCAGAAGAAGCTCCTGGCTTCACACTGATCCAGATATGGTTGTTGTGACCATTTGGAGAGTGAAGCAATAATAATAATAATAATAGTAATAATAATAATAATAATAATAATAATTTCTCTCTCTGTAAATCTGACTTTCAAAAAAAATTAAATTTTACAAAAACAGCAAAATTGGGATCATTTTTCATTTGCTCTGTCATCCAAGAGACACTTACAGATGCTCAGCCAACATCAGTGCTTTGGAAATTTTCCTATAAGGGATCATTCAATCATGTCCTGTCTCCTCAAAAAAATCATTATTTACTGAAATACTACATGTAGTATAGATGCTTTCTGTACTATTTATCATGGGTCTATTTATTTGGGACGTTATATATACATATTATAACAGTAATCACAATCATTGACATATATGTGTGTGTGTGTACTCCTTCTGGTCAGTGATTTGCAGGATACAACATGAATAAATCAACATTACCACCATGACTCTAACGTTGGCCAGGGTCTCATTGCTCTGGCTGAGGAAGCACTGTTTGAACTCTTCGACGGCCTTTTTAGTTTCATCTGAGTGGATGTATGGGTCAAGATACTCTGTGTATTCATCCACAGACACTTCTGGATCAATGGTGTGTTCTACTACGTCCTCCAGAAGCTGGCAGCCAGAACCTGGGGAGTAAATATGAGGAAACAGACTCAGAGCCTGAGATGGGAGCCATCTGGGAATCCTAGCCCTATATCCATCTTCCTAACAATCATGGAAAAATGAGTTAAAAATGTTATGGAGTGAAGTCCGGTATTTTTTTTGTCATGTGTGCATTTCTGTTTTTGCATATTTTAAAATTATTATTTTACAATGCAGTTCCGTAAATTCCAGAATTTACCCCCCTCCACTCCAAATTCCCTCCAGATCCCACTGATTTGACCTATATTATTACAGTAGCATAGTCCTTCATAAGCAGTCATAAATCCATCATCCTGCAATTTAAGCATATCCTGGCATTGTAGGCATGGACAATGGCAGCGTGTCCAGTATCCTATTGTCATGATACATTTAACAGTATCATTGGGAATCCCTTTTTGGTCTGGAAATAGAGATTCCTATTGCATTGTATCTTCTTATTTGAATATGATAGTCTCTATTACATAGTTACTATACATCCCCTTAAATGAAAAAATCATAAAACAAAGTCAAGAACAGGAATAAAAATAGAAAATTTACAACAACATGAAGTTAAATAACACGTTACTGAAAGACCAATGTGTCACTTGAAGAAATGAAATTCAAGAAGCTTCCTGAAGAAAATGATGCTGTTGTATGTATGGCCTATGTGTCACAGAAGATATTAATAAGAAAAAAGAAACTTTCTGGAAGAAATAAAAAAAATGTCAAACTCCACCAGATGTAGCAAAAACAATATTGAAAGGGATATTTATAACATCAGGTGCTTACAGAAAAATTGAAATATCTCAAATAAATGATCTAATAATTCATCTCAAGGCCACTAAAAAAATGAACAGGAATTACACAACAAAAACAAATGGAATGCAAATGAAAAAACTACAAATTGCATCAAGAAAGAGATCTTTTAAAAGTTTACTAAAATAAACTTTTACCCAGACTAACAAATAAAACAATATAGACTTTGACATGAAAAAATATTGAAAATGGGGCCAGGCACAGGAGCTTAGTGGCTAAAAGTCTTCTTCTTGCATGCAGTGAGATCCCATATGGGCACCAGTTTGTGCCCCGGTTGCTTCACTTTCCATCCAGCTCTCTGCTTGTGGCCTGGGAAAGCAGTCGAGGATGACCCAGGGCCTTGGGACCATGCACCTGCGTGGGAGATCTGGAAGAAGCTCTTGGCTCCAGATTGCCACTTAGGGAGTAAATTAATGGACAGAAGATGTTTCCTCTCTGTCTTTCCTCTTCTCTGTATATCTGACTTTCCAATAAAAAAAAATAAATCTTTAAAAAAATATTAAAAGCAATGAAGAAGGACAAAACATAGTGATCAAAGGATCCATCCACCAGAAAGAGGTCACCTTACTAACTTTCTAATGATGTTTTTTTTTAAGATTTTTTTTAAATTGCAAAGTCAGATATACAGAGAGGAGGAGAGACAGAGAGGAAGATCTTCTGTTCAACAATTCTCATCCCAAGTGACTGCAATGGCTGGCATTGCGCTGATCCGAAGCAAGGAGCCATTAACGTCTTCCGGGTCTCCTATGTGGGTGCAGGGTTCTAAGGCCTTATGTTTTCTCTCTTCCTTTTCTTGCTATTCCAGTGTTCTTAATTGTGGGATGAGAAGCTCAAGCACTGGCCTCATATTATAGCTGAAAAATCTTTGTTCTACACAACTCCCCTTATAGTTGTGGCATCTGGGGGGTGCTTCTGTGAGGGTTAATTAGAATAGATGTCCTGGTGTGGCCTGCCAAGATCAAGCCCTGGAGGCTTTACAAGAAGGATGACCAGAAGGCTAGTGTTGTGGTTCAGTGGCTTGAGCTGCCAGCTCTGACAGCAACACTCCATGCAAGTACTACTTAAAATCCCACGTGCTCCACAGCTGATCTGGTCCCTCCTCACGCACCTGGAAAAGTTGAAGAAGGTGGCACCAGTATCTGGGCTCCTCTAACCACATGTAAGAAGTGCATGGACTTTCTGGACTTCGGGTTCAGCCTAGCCCCATCTTAGTTATTAGGGCCACTTTGGCAGTGAATAAATAATGAAAGGCAAGTCTCCTTCCACTTTCTCTGTCTCTTCTTTTTGTGTATTTCAACTTTCAAATAATAGTAATCTGCAACTGAGACAGTCCCATGGACATGGAAGTTGGTGTCTAAGCTTACCATGCAGCCTTCCCTGAGTTATCACTCTGCTATCCTCATCAAACACTGGAACCACGTGGCTTCTGGATCTTAGACTGTGAACCTCCAAAACCATGAGCCAAAATAAACCTTGCTTGGTAGATAACTACTTACAATGTAAGTACTATCAAGTGTTTTAGGTGAAAACACTTACTAAACATGAAAACCTTACTAATATACTATTTTAATATAAGAATACGGACAACAAGATTTCCAAGGACAGCAATGTGTCAAGTGTAACAGTGTCCCAACGGCTGCATTCATTCTGCTATCTATACATAATACAACAGAGTGGCCTGTACTTGCAGAGGATGAAAAAAATGTCAGGATTTGGATTCTGACTGGATCATTCCATGGACCCTGGTTTAGCTTATTTACATGATCGTGATCATGACCCTTTTCAGGTTTTTACCCTTGTGTACCATCTTCAAGAATAAGAAGATATGAGGTCATTGGGTCGCCTAGACACCTGGGCCTTCTCCCTGGGAAGTTCCCTGCTTCCTCTCACAGGGAAGAATTTCATTGAGTACAGAAGTCGGTAAACTCAACAGTAACCAACATGTCAAGGTGTTATTCCATTAAGCCCATCCTGAATTCTCCTAGATATCTAATTTTAACACCAGATCCTGCAACTCTTTCTGGGTTTTCATGGTACTATATCAAAGGTGAAGCACACTGGATGGCAACAAAACACACATACAGCTCCAGGGCAGGGACAAAACTCATGAAAATGCTGCTCTTCCAGGGGCACCTTGGTGATTCTTAGGACTGCTACACCTGTTCTTTGTATTGAGTCTGAATTAAGATGTTGCCTTCATAGTTCTGCACAACAACCATGCTAGCCAAGGTTGCCCTCCCTGCCCATAACTCACCTGCAAGGCAGTAAAGGGGGAGGGCAGCCAGCATGAGGACCACAACCAGCTTCATGTTGAGCAGTTGTTGATTGTTCTTCACTTGTACGTGGCTGAGTTGAAGGAATTCACTCTGGAGGTGACCATGAAGAATTGCTCTATTTATTCCCCAGGGAGCCACCTCATCTCTCCAAGCAAAGAGGGGAGGAGTTACAAATTTAATCTGGGATTAGACTGGCAAAAACTGATCTCCCCACTTGACCCAACCAATAGCCTCTATTTGTAGAAGACAGGAAGCAGGTGATTTTGACCCATGACCTTGTGTTTGTTGTAATGAAACAGCTGTGTTATAGTGATTACTGTTATCAATTTGAAATTAAAAAGTCCGCATTAATTTCTTCTTTTGTCATGTTCACTTTGATCCTCATTTTCACTGGCTTTCACTTATTCTTTACTTTGGTGTAGAAACAATTTTTTGTACTCCTTATTCAAACAGCTATGAACATTGTAAAATACAAACATGCAAGGTTTGTGTTGCTGTTTTAATTGTATGGAAATTTTCAATAAATATTCAGTTAATGTTGAAAACAAAATCAACCTATATGACTACTGGGCATAATTCACAGGGATGCACCTTCAATCTGCACCTCAGCATACCCCTATATAATATGACCATATATTTTAAAAAGAGACATGAAATGCATTGGGATGTCAGTAAGCATATTCCTGACAGTCTGGACCCAGCCAGGGTGTGTGATCGTCCATGAAATGGGCACTTCATCTATCCCCAATTATCACAAGCACAGCACAGATATGAAATTCTGCCTCCCTGGAAGATAGTGAGGAAGCAGAAGATCAGGCATGGAATCCAGTGTTCTGAATACACCAAGTGCTTTCAACTTATGACAAGCAACAAGTGGTGATTACCAGGGAACTACATATTCACTTGGTTAGATCTTCATAGACAGGCTGTGATTCTTTTGCTTTTATTATTATTATTGTTGTTGTTGTTGAATGGCAGATTTACAGAGAGTAGACGATATAGAGAGAAAGGTCTTCCATCTGCTGGCTCATTCCCCAAGTGGCCGCAACATCTGGAGATAAACTGATCTAAAGCCAGAAGCCTGGAGCTTCTTTTGGGTCTCCCACATGGGTTCATGACTCCAAGGCTTTGGGCTGTCCTCTATTGATTTTCCAAGCCACTAGTGGGGAGCTAGATGGGAAATGGAGCAGCCAGGACACAAACTGACACTCTCATGGGATACCAATACATGCAAAGTGAGGATTTAACCAGTGGGCCATCATGCTGGGCCATAGACTGTGATCTTGTGAATATGAATTCTTTTTGAATTTTTAAATAACTATGGTTTTCTATTTGAAAATCTGTGGACTCATGTTTTTCAGTGTCCCTTTCACTTTGTTTTTCAGACCCCAACGGAAATGAAATGGAGTCTGCTCCTTACCTCTTGCTGTCTCCTGAATCCCCTGTGTTTACTAACACACAGGATTGGACTGTCCTCTGAGTCAGTCTCTTCTGTCACCAGGACCCTGACCACTGCCCTCTTTAACCTAGTTCAAACACCTCAAGTCACACAGCTTGCAATTCTTGACTTTGTATAATTGTCATGCAAATGTAGCAGTAAATAATTGCTAATTAATTAGGGGGAGGGAAATGAGGTGATCATCAGAGATTTTATAGATTATGTTGCAGGAAACTTTACTACATTTGTGAAGAAATAGGAATGTATCTCAATAAAATGTTTTAAAACTAGATGACAAAAACTGTAAAATCAGCTTTCATCCAAGCTGTTGATACTATGACATTTATTTTCTGTCTGATGTTTTGGGAAGTTTTGATGATGACCAACCTGACTCAATGATGATCAACCTGATTGTATCAACAATCACCTATTTAATTAGTGACAATTATCATTTGATACAATCTGGTCTAACTAATGTCCTTGAGCTGCAGCCAGATAAGGTACAAGTTAAGGAAAGTTGTCAGGCTATGATTAATTCTTCTTGCCTTTTTCACCAAGATTCTAAACTTCATACAACTTGACCTTATCTTATAGGAATAGTTAAATATTTAATCCTCACACTGAGTTGAGCATTGGTTTGGTTCATTAACTGTTCACACAGATCTCTTCTCTATTGCGTCAGTAATTTGATGTTCTGATTCAATACCAAAATCTTCCCGTTGACTGTATTCCCTCACGTTTGTGGGCTTCTACACCTTAGAGGAGAAGAAGGCTAAGGGGAAGCTGATATAGGAATTTCCTCTACTAAAGTATCTCTGCTGTGTTGGAAATTGTTCTATTTATTTAATCTGACCAGGAAGCCAGCTATGCATTTTCTTAACACCATTGATGTCTGCAGTAAAACTAGTTCTGGGCCAATCAAACCCAGCAGTGTGAATCTATGCTGTCATCACTGCTTCTATATTTACTGTGTTTGTACGTTATTCATTTCTTCTAACTTTATATTTTACTGTTGGTCCTCTTATCCTTTTCTTTATAGGGTTTTACTAATATAAATAAAATGACTTCACATATTCCATGGATTCAATTCTAACAAGATATTCCTCCTCTTACTCTTTCTGTTCTCATTTTTCTCCCTCCTGTGCATGCAGGACCTCATGAGTGCATACCCGTGTGAATGTCATGTTATAAAAAACCCATCGTGGTAGCCTAGTGGCTAAAGTCCTTGCCTTGCATTTGTTGGGATCCCATATGGGCACCAGTTCATGTCCCAATGGCCCTGTTTTCCATCAGCTCCCTGCTTGTGGCCTGGAAATGCAGTCTAGGAGGGCCCATATCCTTGGGACCCCCGCATGGCAGACCTGTAGCGGGTTCTTGGCTCCTGGCTTCGGATCAGCACAGCTCTGGCCATTGCATCTGCTTGGGGAGTGAATTATCAGATGCAATATCTTCCTTTCTGTTTTTTCTCCTCTCTGTATATCTGACTTTCCAATGAAAATAAATAAGCCTTTTTTTTTTTTAAGTGTGGAATTGGAAGAAATTCTGCAGTAATACTCTGGGGGTTGTTTTCTTTTACTTGAATACAGTGAATATAAAACAGGATTTCTGTTTGGGACAAAATTTGCTAATATGCAACCATTCCTGGTGATTGACAGTTCTTTCCAGTTCCTCAAGGATTCTTTGAATGAGAAGGGTAACTATCCTGAGGGTTGGAATTAATGATCAGTGAATGGTAATGTGGTTTTTGTTCAGGAATTTGATTTAATATTCTGGATGCAACATCTACCCATGATACAGAGAATATGTTACTTTTTATAAAGTATATAGAAGAAACAATGAATGTGATGGTAGAGTTGGCAGTTGCTGTAATTAGAGCTTCCCACACATGGTCTTACATGAAATTCCCAGGAACACACAACTATTTAAAAACAAAAATTTTTCCTCCATGCTTTCATCAAACCACGGGTTGCTGGGGTCCATGCAGTAGGTGTGAATAACACGAAGATGTGAAGAGAACAGCTCCCCTGGTTGGCAGGGCGGGGGTGGGGGAGCTTCCAGCTCTTTGGCAGGGCCTGACAGATTTCTCTCTGCCCACCTTGACACAGTTTCACCCCCTTTTTGCATGGACACTCAGCCATCCCACTAAGAATTTTGTGATCTATTGAGGTACTGTTTGCCCCTGTGAGATGGCTTTTTTTGCAACCAACATGAGCTTGAGTGTTAATGTTATTAATAATGTCTTGATGAATGGGCCTTTAGCTGTGCACAGGAGTACAATTAAATTCGTGCTGTTTCTGAACACCTTATTGTGTGCCTACTCATTGTCCTGAAATCTGACCCAGACCCCCCATCCCCATAAACCAAGGCCCCAGACTTTTTAACCCATACATAATTCAAGATAAGGGACTGGTTGTCACAGGCGGGGCCAAGGATAGAACCCAGACTTGAGGAGAGCAGGTGGGGACTGGCAAGCCAAGATAAACAAGGAATGTGGAATCCTCCCTCATTCATCTCTCAAACTGTTATAAATTGTGCCTCCCCCCACCCTCGAGGCTATGTCAAACTGCCCCTAAAGAAAACCTTGCACTGCTTCTGTATGAATAAAGCAGACAGCTTTCTCGCATGGTCCACAATGATCCTGGAATTTCAGTGGTCTGTTTCTCTTCTTTCTACCCCTACTTCCGCACCCTCCTCGAGCTCCGCAATCAGCTGGAGCTGGACACCAGCAACGCGTCATTCAATGTTAGTTTTAATCACAGAGCCTCTCTTACACTGTTTGCTGCAGTTTGAGTTTAGGAACCAGATCTTAGAGTCTTCTGTAACTTACTTTTACTGAAACAGGAAAGAAATACTCCTACAATTTTTGCAATACTGAATCCTGCAAAGGTAACAAAATAACCCACAGCCGAATGCAGTTGCTGACTGGTGATGGGGAGTCTCAGGTGAAGAGTCCTGTAGGAGCAGGTGCCATTTACCTGAGTCTTGGATCTAGGGAGGAACATAGGATGAACCTGCTGGGCAGAGAATAGCAAGCATAGAACACAGAGGGTGAAGGACGCTCCAGTGTCAAAGAGCTAAGGGAAGTGGCCGTAAGTGCTCAAGAGAGGAAAAGAACAGCCACACTGGATGTAAATGCCAGCCAAGTTTAATAAGGTAATAAAACAGAAAGAAGAAAAACCTGAACGTGTCTTATGTGTTTCGAAATTTCCTATGGATGCCAGAGATTGAGTTCAATCATAATGACCCAAAACTGAGTTGTTTATATCTGCGTATATGTGACACCTTTCTTTATAACACGATGCTGGAGCATAAATTATTCTGTACAGTACTCACATTCAGTCATGGGAAATACTAGAAAAGAAGTGTTGCATGCTTTTGGGGTTTACCACAAGACATTTGTCATGGATTACTTGCTTAAATCCTTAACCAAGAAAAGACTTGTATAATGGAATGAAAAAGTTTCCAAGGCATGATTTAATGGAACTCTGCCTGAGGATTTTTACACTCCAATACCTAATTTACCTGAAAATATCACCCTTCGGCATTTTACACCTCCAATAAAGTGATTGCCTTTTTGTAACTTCCATGTATTTGTAGGATATGTTGTGTCTTATACTAATAACATATCCCGGGGGGAAAA